ATTTCGATAAAAAAAGAGTTCCATGAAATATCCAGTTTGGATCATAAACAACAAACCATTGATCCACTGAGTGCCAAATAGAAATATGCGGTATCTAACATTGCTGACCATCTATCGCATATTGTCATTCTCAAGACAGATATTTCTAAGGGAGTAAATGCACGCAAACCTAGTAAATCAATAATGAAGCGAATAGTTAATCCAAATAATATAAATGAATTTCGAACGAGACTGAATGGTATGAATTGGTGTCCAATTATGTCTGTACAAAAAAGGCTTTGCCTTTTTCCTAGAGTCTCTGTCCTGGTGTTTTGATGTATCATGCCCAATAAAGCAAAGTAAAGTTGAGAAGCCTAAAAACTCATGGATAACTAACGATTTTGTTCAAGAAGGAAAATGCTCAAGAGAAATGTTCTATCTGATCACCAGTTATGGAGAAATAGATGCCCAAAGCATGCTTACATATAAAATAAGATTGGGAGAACATAAAAGAACAATTAAACAGAATAAAATACACTATTTTTCTAAAGAAATTGGGAAGGCAGCCAAAAAAACGAAGGAGACATGGCAAATAATAAATAGCGAACTAAGGAAACCAATGCATTTTGATGCTGGGGAGGGGGGCATTACTTTAAACTATAATTCAAATTCAGTTGGGAATGCGCAAAATACATCTGAATTATTTGCTCAGTGCTTCTCAAACACTGCTACATCTATCATAGCCACCAACTTTGTACAGAATTTAACCCTACTCTGCACCAGTAGTACGAATGTCAGTATCCAACACCCCTTTGATAACAGCCCAATATTAGAATCTGAAATATTTGACGTTCTCAGATCAATGAAGAATAAGACGTCGACAGGCATCGACGAAATATCAATAATTACAGTTAAAGATATAATCAGTGCTATAATTGATCCACTTACCTATTTGATGAACCAATCTTTCATTCAAGGGTACTTCCCGTGTTAGGAATCACACGTTAAAAGGTAAGACCTCGTTAATCCTTGGCTCGCACAAGTTTCGACTTCTGAGGGTTGTCGTTCGTAGGGACAACACCCCTTTGATAACAGCCCAATATTAGAATCTGAAATATTTGACGTTCTCAGATCAATGAAGAATAAAACGTCGTCAGGCGTTGATGAAATATCAATAATTACAGTTAAAGATATAATCAGTGCTATAATTGATCCACTTACCTATTTGATGAACCAATCTTTCATTCAAGGGTACTTCCCAGAGGAATTTAAAAAAGCTTTGGTAATTTCCCTATTTAAAAAAAAGAAGTCATGCTGAGATTGATAACTATAGACAGATCTCTTTTACTATGCTCGCCTCCAGAATAAGAGAGTATGTAGAAATCAACAACATATTATGTAACAACCAGCATGGTTTCAGGAAATATCGTTCCATAGAAACAGCCTCTTATCACTTTCTCAGCAACATATATTCCAACTTGGACGCTGGTAACTTTGTTATAAGTGTATTCTTTGACTTGTCAAAGGCATGTGTCATGGAATTTTCTGCCTTATAAGTTGATTACACTTGGTCTTCCAAACCATGTATTTAGATGGTTAGGCTCCTATATGGAGGGGCGCTGTATGTCAGTCAAATATAGGGGCACCATGTCAGATGAGCATGCTTCTAACTAGGCGTTCCTCAGGGCTCAGTTTTAGAACCATTATTATTCATTATATTTATCAAAGATTTGCCTGAATATATGAGGGACTGCCACATTACGATGTTTGCAGATGACACCACTGTAACAGTCACTGGACATACTATGGACGACGTGGTAAGCAAAATTAGTGAACGAAACTGACTAGTCTTGAATACCTCAAAATCAGTGACAATGAAATTTTATAACAGAAATAATAATACTCAAAATGCAGTGTTCTCTATTGATGAAATGAATATGTCTCAAGAAGTAAAATTTTCATGAATAATTGTGGATGAAGTCTGATGAAAAACTGTGTAGATCAGAAAAGTCTGATTAGCATCTATTATGCAATGGCTTTCTCACATATTTCCTTGAACATCATGTCTTGGGGGTGGGGTTCAGATTTCAACAGGGTGTTTATAGGACAGAAACGTATTCTGAGACTAATTTTTGACATGGAATATGTCCTTGACATAACCATCGGATATAACCACAACAACACAATTTTAAATGGCAATATACAGGAAACCTACACAAACAAGCTCTACCATACCCGCAAGTTCAAACCATCCACCATCACACAAAATGGCTTCCTATAACGCATTCATATATAGAATGTTAAGGATACCACTTAGCAATGAAATCCGGAACAAGGAACGGAAAATCATATACCAAATAGGGAACGAGAACGGATACACCCAAAAGACAATAGATAAATAAGAAAACAGAACCGAACAAAAAATACAGAACAACACTCCAACAGACAAAACAACACAACGATAGACATCATTTACGTACGTAGGTCACCAAACCAAGAAACTAACAAACATTTTCAAACCCCTGGACATCAACATCACATACAAGCCGAACACGAAGATAACACAAAAAATAAACAACTATGAAAAAGAAAAAGACAAAGACCAAAACGGGATATACAGTATACAATGCTCGGACTGCAACAAATTCTATATCGGCCAAACCAAGAAAAAACTAATCCAAAA